CTCTCCATCCTGTTCTGACCCTTTTAGGTCCGTGAGAAACTGGGCAGTACTTTCTGATTCCTTAGGGGGCTAGGGAGTTCAAATCCAGCAATTTTGCTTTGGACAGTTGCATACGTTTATCCAATTCTTACCAAATGGTACGGTTTTCTACTAAAAGCGCCCCTACCCCCATCGTTGGACACCTCCCCTATGCTGTCCTGTGCTGAGGGCCTAGGTGTGAGGGCGAATCAGACACTCAGCTCTTGCCCACTCAAAGGTTGCCATCAGGAGAGTCACACAGGGACGGCCCCAGCCACTGTGCCCTTGCCACCTCAGCCCCACTCATAGCATGGGCTCCCCCGGAAGGGCGAGGTCCCAGCTTGACAAATGTCATGGCATGCACAGCTGTGGAATGGACAGGCCTGATGGACTGTCCATGGGTCCCTCAGTGGCCTTGAGCAGTAACCTAATCTCGTTAAGCTTTCTTCCTGTGACTAGTGGGAATATGGACCAAAGTGCTGCTGCGAAAGCACCCAGAGTAGGACCCGGCTCAGCACAGGTGACCGTGATGATAAGGACGGTGATCATCGCTGGGAGCTGCAGGAGCACTGGGAAGGGTGCGGCCTTGGGTAGGGCACAAACGCTCTGCATCTCCAGGTGCGTGACTAGAGGACCACAGGCATGTTTAAATGTGCAGGGTGGTACTGGCACACAGTGGAGTACATTCTGCCGTAAAGAAGGACAAACCTGAGTCATGAGGAGGAAAATGGATGCACCTTGAGCCCATAATGTTAAGTGAAATAAATCAGACACACAAGCTGAAATTGCACATGGTTTCCTTACACAAAAAACCCAAATTATAAATAAAAAGCAAAGTAAGAGCTCGTAAAAAGCAAGGAGATAGATCTCTTGTAAAACGGAAGTGCACCAAGAGATGGAGGGAGAGGAGGGAGGGGTGTGGAAAGAACGAAGATGTGTTATGTATATGCCCCAGCTCCCCATAGGAACATGCCAAACAGTAAAACTATAAACTAGCAGCGGGGGAAACGAGAAGGCATTGTTGGGGTGCTTGTGTATAACAGTGAGCGTATTTTCTGAACTTGAAAGGTCAGTCAGTGTAGTCTGATAGTGCTGGACTCCTCTGGGGAGTAATGGGGTAGGTGAATCCCAGTGAGGCTTTCTGTGTATGTGGGGCCCTGTCCCTCCAGAGAAGAAGCCACCAAGGGAAGGCAGGAGCCTCCGGGGGAGAAGGAAGAAGCCAGCTGCCGGCTGTCCCCTGCCCGCTCTGTTTCCGCAGTCTTGCTTATGCGCTTTTTAACCTCATCATCTGATTCTTGATGGTCTTTGTCTTGGTTACTTTTCTCTCCTTGCTGGAACAAAATACCTGATGCCCCAGTGAAAGAGGGAAAGGTTTATTTAGCTCACAGTTCGTGGAAGTTTCAATCCATACTCTGCTGGCTCCAAGGCAGAGTGGCACATGGCAGGGGGCAACAGTTCATGGCTGTGGAAAACAGAAAAAGCAGCACAAGCAAAAAGGAGGAGTGGCAGCAGGCAGCCTCTTTCCCTCCCTTACACTGTATGTAAACTACCTGCCCCAGGATGGGTGTAGCACTCACACCCATAATCCCAGCACTGGACCATGAATCAATCATAAACTCTGGAAGCCTGCCCCATGACTGCATGAGGCTTTGGGGGGACATCCAGACACAAACCATAACAGCCTTCCTGAGTCCCATCTTGAAAGTAAGTACACCTGTTGCCCACGCCAAGCTGGGGTGAAAGTCCTGTGTGTCACAGCTGGTCAGTGCCACAGTGGGCAGTGGCCCCCCGTCTGTGGTGGTGGCCAGCATGGCCGAGGGCTGCACATGCTACCCTTGCCCTTGCCCTGCGGGGAGCCATGTGTGACATGGCCCAGGGCAGCCAGGCCACTCGGCTCCTCCCTGCACAGGAACCTGCTGCCTTTGGAAATTCAGCTCCTTCGACATTAGTTCCTTTTAAAGTGTCTTTTTAGCAATGTGAGTACTTGGAATGATTCTTTGGGAAACTTAACAAGAATTCCAACAGAAATGTCCAGAAAGACAAAAAATTGGCTCCTACTGGTCTTAGAACCCTTTTTACTTTTAGCAAAGAGATCCAAACATACTGCAGTGTGAACATTGTCTAAAACAGGACAAAAATAGAAAATATCGACTTGTCCTGCTGTGTGAAAACACGTGTAATAATAATATTTTTCTTTCTTTCACTGCAACCATTTCTGGGTAATAGCTCATGCTGGGCCTTTCTGTCTTATAATTTTACCTCTCAATTTTTCAAAGAGCATAGATGGAGCTGGGGACGGAGGACTCAGCCTAGCATGTGCAAGGCCCTAGGCTCGATCCCCAGCTCCACCAAAGAATTTTTACTTATTGTGTTTCTTTGTTCCCTCTATAAATTTACATTTCCAGTAGAAAAGATTCAGAGACAGTCACAGTGAGATGTGTACCTGTGACTCACGGGGCGTGGGCAGGCTCTGTTCCACTTTTAAATATGGACCCCAGCACTCTACTTCCTCTTCCCATGCCTACTCTTTTGCTTGTATCCTCTTATGCTGTCTGTATTTCTACCACATAGCACTTGTCACCATGAATTTTACAATTCATTTTAGAACACTTTCCTGTCTCATCAGACTGCATCTTCTTCATGTGGGCAAGAAAGTAGCCCATTTTGTTCAAGTTGACACACAGTGTTCGGCACACAGAGGGGCTCCACTTACAGCGTTCATGGTAGCTAACATTTATTGAATGACAGGCATCCAGCTAACAAAAGACTCAATCTTCAAGATGCTTACAAACAATCAAACAAATAAACTGCAAAGAAAGTCTAAAAAAAAATTCCACGTTTATTTTGTCTATAGTTTTCCATTTCTAAGCCATTGCATACATCCAATGCTACAGCCAACTTGGATATGAACATTCGAGTTTCAAAAAATGTGAGTTGATTTCGAATAAATGACCTCATCCTCATAGGAGGTAGAAAAGGGCAGGCCAGTGGTCAGGGAAGGTCTCCAGGGACAGGTCTCTCGGGCAGCAGTTAGAAGGACATGTTCAGATCCTGGCAGGAAGTGGCAGGTCCTCCCAAACTGGTAATTGGAGGTGATTTTAATAAAGAGATGGCTAACGAAGGTGAAAGCAGGGTTTGTGGAAGTTGTGGAGGGGTAGGGGCACCCCAGTGTGAGCGACAGCTGGGAGGCTTCCACACTCTGGTCCTGGACGGCTAGGGCTTGGAGAGTAGCTGGAGCCGTGTGTGTGTGTGTGTGTGTGTGTGTGTGTGTGTGTGTGTGTGTGTGTGACTGTTATGAGATGCCTCTCACAGGGGCTGCTGTGATGGTGACAGCGTGGCCAACACACAGCGTCACGCAGGGCAGAACTCAAATGCCAGGCTCTCTCTCTGCCTCCCTCCTCACCTGGGGATGCTGGAGTGTCTTCTGTTGGTGCAGATCATCCAGAAGCCAGGGGGCCAAGAAGCCACTGTTTGATCTCCAAGGGCCAAAGCAGGTTGGAGAGTGGGTATGAGGGGCAAGGAGGAGATGCAAGGCACAAAACAAAGACAGAAGATACAGCTCGCACATTTTCCTCTGAAACCCACCGGAGGTCCAGGAAAGCCTGGTGAGTGTGATGACCTCATAAGGGAACAAGCACATTCACGCAAGAGCCCTGGCAGGCCTATGTGCACTGGTCCAGCCTCAAGTTACAGCAGCCAGCCTTCAGTCTAGAGGTGACTGGGTTATTTGTTCTGCAAGTATCTGCAAGTGCTTCCGTGTGTCAGGCACAGGTGTCTTGGAAGGAAGATACCTGTTCCGCCCCTGTTTCCAGCAGTACAAGGCTGTAAGTGCAGGCTTTTGTTTAGTGCAGCAGTTCTCAAGGTGGAGTCTCCACATTGCCAGTAGCAGCACCCGGAACTGGTTAGAAACACAAATCTGTGCCCACACTGCAGCTTCTGTCTCAGCACCTCGGTTGGAGTTCAGAAGTCCCTGTTTTAGTAGCTTTTGGGGGATTCCTGTGCATGCTCATGTTTGAGGGGCTGCGGCAGACACTGCGATCTCATGAACATGAAGAAGCAAGCCAGGTCTTTGATTCTCACACCCCACCCCACCTCCGATACACGCAGCTTCATCTTAGTTTTAGCATATTTTAAAATAGTCCTGCAAAATAAGGAAATGGGGCGCGAGAAGGGGTTTACAAACAGTGTTTATCTGATTTCTTGCAGAGCAGGGATGATGGCGGTGGTCGCTGGGCCGATCCGCTCAACCAAAGTAGTGCATTTGTTTTTATAAAGATCTAAGGTTCCCTCTTGTTCAAATATTCTACACTGTCTTGTGCTACATTCAATCAATGGCACAGCCTCGATGTGTGGGCTGTGTGTGGCATCAATATACACCGCATATGTATATGCGTGTTTTGTTTTATTCCAGAATATTCGTACTAGCTTACGGCCAGAGGGGCTGTTTTTCCATTTCCTGCCCCTTCTGGGAAAACTAGCTACATATGGGAAAGTTATTTTCCCATAGATCTTTCTACCCTGCTCACATGTGTGATTTCCAGACGCAGTCACCCCAGGCAGCAGACCATTACTGGTTTTAATAGCTCTCATTGCTGTTTTGAACATTAAAAAGTTGCAGAAATTATCATTGCATTTCTCTTGCATCTGCTTATGTGTCTGAACTATTCACTAGGCTATTAAATATTTAAAAATGGCGTGTGGTGTGGTTCAGCAGGCAAGATGCAAGTTGCTCTAATCCTAGTTATGTGTTTACAAGAAACCCAAAGCCTTCTGTGCTTGTATTTTCTTATTTGTCAGAGGTCCATAATGTTTTATCACCTCCCTATGTCCCATGAGGTAGCTCCAGATTCCTACTCAGACCAGGGACAGGGACAGTCGTCTCTACCTAGGTGTGGGGAGTGGGATAGAAACGTGATAAATTCACAAAGCAAACACATACTGTCTTTCTGTTTGGATATCAAAGGTCATAAAATTAGAAAAGCTTTTCAAAGATGCTTTTTATTCTGTGAGAAAATGGATAAAATGATTTGTTGTATCAAATACTTCTTCAAAACCTGGGTTGGCTTTGGTGGAAGATTAGCGAGGCAGAGAGGACTTAAGTTCGTGCTGTCAGTCACTTCTTGACACAGATCTGGTGTGACTCTGGGATACTATGAGAGGATAGACCGAGGAAGAACAAATGCCTGAGATCCACAGGTCAGAGGAGGAAAAGCTTGCTTTGGCTCATGTTTTAGAAGCTTTAATCCGTGGTTGTCTGGTTCATTGCTGTGGGCCTGACGGAAGGCAGAAATGTCCCGGTGGACAAAGCTACTCACCTCATGGTAGCCGGAAAGCAGAGTGAGAAGGGGAAAACCTGAGGAGAAAGGGGCAGGGCCAGACAGATTCCCAAGGCCGAGCCCCATGACTCACTCCTTTAAACCGGGCCTTACCTCCGAAGTCTCTGTCGCCTCTGATCGAGTCAGTGGACGGACCCACGAGGGCAGCCAGAGCCCTCATAATCGAAGCGTCTCTGGAAACGCCCACAGACTCACCCAGAAGTGTGCTCTGCCAGTTTCCCAGGCATTGCTCAGCCAGATCAAGTTGGCAATCAGGAGTAACCTTCACAGACAGCATGTGTGTGGACTTTATATTTCCTTCAGCGTCTTCAGAGAAGTAGGAGTGCTTCATCTGTCTCCACGTCTTTCCCTGTATCTTCCGCATCTGGTACAGCACTTGCCTTATGTTAGCTGTTAAGCAAATGGTTTAAGTGCAGATAAATGTGTACCTGGGATGTTAACGGGGCTCACCTGTTCTTTGAAACGTCAGAAAAGAGGACATGAACTCTGTCCTAGATGCCCACGGTCCTGGAAGTTTATGGTCTCATGGTCTCTTGCTCTGATTTCTGGTCTCTGCCTCCCTCCTGTCCTGGGGGTGCCGGAAGGCTTTCTGTGGGTGGCTTTTCCTCTCACGCTCCATGTGGACCCACACCAGCCTCTTCTCTTTGGTTTCCCCGAGCTGTCCTCACACATAGCATCTGCGTGCAGTAACATTCCGGGTACCAGCCGGTCCCTGCAGGTAGAGGACAGTGGCCATTTGTAATTTAGGATTCAGTGTTAGTTTTGCTCTTAGTAGTTCTCCCAGGGAGTGTAACTATTTCTCAGGTGGCTTCCTTCCAGAGACCCAGTCGGAAAAGATGGCGCAGACTGGGGTGGAACAGCCACAGAAGAGAGGGTGTTCAACAGCAGCAGTGAGGAGTCATATTCTGAGCATGGGACAGGACAGTAGTGTCACTTCAGCTCTGTCCCGTTTCTCTCTAAACCACCAGCCCTAGCCTCATCAGACAGAAAACATCAGACAGGTCTCAGTAGAGAGCCCCCGCGCATAGGCCTGCCCCGTGTCCTGCTACGTTGCGCCATGCCCTCTCCTCCTCTTTCCTCTCCTGCCCGCAGCACCTGGGAACACCCCATCTCCCATCATCTCCTTCGTGGGGTGCTTGGGGTCACCTAGTTCCCGCCTAGCTTATCCAGCTGCTCTTGAAGGTACCCTGGTTGTCTCTGTCCACCCTAAGAGAACAAACTGACGCCCAGTGCAGATCCGGCTTCCCCCGTGCTTGTTGTCCCCTCTGGGGTCCTGGCTTTTTCAGGGTGGCCTCACCGAGGATGTCTCAGTGACACTGAGAGCAGCACCGTTGATTGAAGAGAGGAGTTTGCCTATCTTTCAAGTCTTTATCTCCACATTGACATGTTTTCCTCCCGTAATTAACATTAAACCCTTTCTAAACTGTGTACTCAGGTGCGGAGAAAATAACTTCCAGTGGAGATCCAGGCACAGGGAACACTTAAAAATGTCCTAGTGATGGCTAGGCCTGGTGGCGCATACCTATGATCTCAACACTCAGGAGGCTGAGGCAGGAGGATACCTTCCTTCCTGCAAAAACTCTCTTCAAGGAACAGAGAGCACGGGTGTGACCTGTGTTATTCTCCCCAAGGCCATCCTAAGGGAGGAAAAAGGAGAAGGGGAAACACAGGTACTCACGCTTTGTTGGAGCAGCACGTAGGCATTTGTGTGCTGGTTTAAACACGAAAGCTGCGGTGAAGGAGGCTGTGCATAGCTGGGCCCCAGAAGGGCCCAGCCAGAGTTGGCTCCCCCGCGTCCTCCCGATCCCTCTCTGCGTCGTCCTTTCCCTCCTGCCCAGCACTGCCACGGCAGCTAGGGTCCTCGGAGGGACTTCAGTTCCCAGGTCCTCAATGTGCATTTTCACTTGTGCCCATGCTTTTAAGAGGGAGAGGTTTAATTCACATGTTGACTTCCACCCTCCTCCTGCTCCTTGTCTTCACTGTCTGGTGGATCCGTGGGTTCCTGCGGGGATCAGTGAAGATGTGTGGAGAGGCCCTGACAGTCCGAGACCCTTTTGCCCCTAGAGGAGTCCATGAGTCGCCTTCCCATGCAGGAGGGGCTGGTGTGAGGTGAAATAATGCAGACACACAGCTTCAAGAATGCCTGGCTTCTCTTCTGAGAGAAACTCCTGTAGAAATCAATTAAACAGCAAAATAAACGAGAGATGACAGGAAACAGGGAAATGGAGCTTTTGCAAATGGGAAGAGCCTGAGAGACGGAGGGAGGGGAGGGAAGGGGAGGAGGGTGAAGCAAGAATGAGGCTGTGCTGTGCCCATGCGTCAGCTCCCCGTGAGGATGGGCTCACAGCAGGAGGGACGGCACGGCTTTCTGTGACCGCGGCCGTGGCCTCAGTCTTTCCCATGTCCGTGCACAGGGAAGTATATGATGAAGGGAAGGGGCGCACAATAGGGTCAGGTAGGCTGCCGGGTCGAGAGAGCAGCTCAGGCCTCTCAGGTGTCTGGGTCTTTATGACATCATTTCCGGACAGGCAGAGCTGTGCTCTGAGTGGAGGCCCACGAAGAACCCAGGGCAACCTGGCCATGACCTTTGACACTGGGGGTGTGGTGTTCCCCAAAGACAGCAGAGGCCAAGTTGAAGGCCGCAGTGGACTCGGAAGCCTCCTGCTCTTGGCACTGAGGACAGATGGCAGGAAGATTTATTTGTGTTATTTTTATTTATTTTTATCTCCCGTGGTTCTGAGGATTGAGCCTTACCTTCCAACTGATCCACATTCTCAGTCTCTGTTTTCTTTTTTAATGTTGAGGCAGGCTCTTGCTAAGTCACTGAAGGGGGAGAGGATTTAAACAGCACTGTAACAAGCACAGTTGACCCAACCCAATGAGATTATGGGTTTCCTTCCCTGTCTGTTAAACTATCAGTCACTGAAAGCAAGGGTAGAAGTAGAGCTCTGTAACAGGCCTTCTTCAGAGAGGCCTAGTTTCTGTTAAACTGCATGTAGGTTTTGAGCCTCGACGCACAGCGGCTCCGTGGCGTAACATAGTGTGAGAATGTGGTTATCGTACACAGCTCTTTAGGGGTACAGCTTTTCTGGTTGGGGCAACAAAAATTCTGCAAAGTGCTCAGACTCTTTGAGTGGCAGAAATCTGTCTTCCTGGAGTGGACAGGCAGTAGCAGAGATAGAAAATTAGCAAGGAAAGATTTTGTTATTAAAACACCAGGGCAGTAATATTCACTATGATAAAAGGTGAGTGTTTAAATTAAAATTTTTTATTACAATAAAAGACTTGTTACCATGTGTCCCCCTCACACCTCTCCCTTACTTCATACACTCTTCCCCTTGCTCGTACTGCTTTCTGGAGCAGTTCGGGAAGTCCTCATTCCTGAGTGTCTTTACCAGTTGTGCTAAAAAAATGCAGTGAATGGCACTGTGGAGTGCCATCTAATGGAAGGGCGGTCTCAGCAAAACGTTATGGTGTGTCCTCATCTTCACTGTCACCAACCTGGATCTTCTTAATGTCAAATCGACCATGAAAGGTGCATATCTGGATCAATTCAGGACACTGAGGCAGCCACAACACTTAGGACTTCTTAGAACTGCGTCAGAAAGTGGTGAGGACAATGGGATGAGTGTGTTTTAAAGAATGGGAAGTGTTTTGAAAGAGAATGGCAATGGGTCCTTCATTGTGATAATTTTTTTTAATTTTAAAGAGAATAAAATAAAAAAATGGCAGCAGCAAAGACAAAAATAAAACAACACAAATATAAAAACGATATAGGATTTCAAAACAAAATGATAGGAACTAACAGTGGTTGTTATATTACATATTGTTATCTTCAACGAATTTTTTAAAAAAATATAAAAGCCAGGCATAGTGGCACACTCCTGTAATCCCAGAACTCTGGAGGCTGAGGCAGGAGGACCGTTGTGAGTTCAAGGCCAGCCTGGGCTACAAGGTGAGATCAAGGCCAGCCTGAACTGCATAGTGAGACCCTGTCTCAAAAAGACAAAAAAATATATAAGCATGCACCACATGTGTGATTCAGTGAAAGGGTCAGTGTGGCTGATCAAAGATTAGGAGGAAAGGTGGAAATCAACAGAAGCAATTCAAGTGAATAAATAAACTTCCATAGTTTCCTTGTTAAGAATAAGAAGTGAAAGGTGTAGGAGAGCTATGATCTGCATTCCAAGTTACCTGCAGTGTGATAGCTGCAATAAGTAGGGACTTGGATTTGGAGACACCTGTGGTAGCTGAGTTACCGTGGAGATAAGTGAGTGACTACAAGAACAAAGCTAATAAGAGACAGTGAAACAGAACTGCTTCTCCCCCTCCCTTCCTCTTCCTTCTCCTGCACCTCTTCTTTCTTCTTTTATCCTGTTCTCCTTTATTAACTTTTATAGTATTACAGTATCATTTGAGTGGGCTTTGGGGATTGTACCTAAGTGACTAAGCCAAATGACTTACTATCATCTACACTCACTCACACACACACACACACTCAGATTTAGTCTCTCTTTTCAAATTTCCTAGACCTGAAATAAACAAGAACTTGGACTTGTTTTATAGAAGGTTGAAAGTTATAAAATATTAGATGAACTCATACAAGAATGATTGCTCCTTTAAGGAAAAAAAAAGTACCAAATAGTAGTTACATATGATCAAATCTTCCAAAGGGCTTGGTGAATTCTATATGTATCGTAAAACTCACACAAAAACCATCCACTGTGTGGTGGTGCTTGCCAAGAAGAGTGCTTCTTCACAGAATGAGCTAAGGAGCTGTCAGGCTGACACCAGGCTTTCTTGCTGGGTATCAGCCATTCGGGGCTCTGTCTTCACTGAGAGACAGTGGCCAGGCACCATGATGCGAGCCTGCAATCCCAGCACTTGGGAGGATCCTCTGAGTCTAGAAGTTTGAGATCTCAAAATCAAAATAAAAGACAAACACAAAAACAAAATGGAAGAGATAGTATAATCAACTTCCTCTAACCTTTTGCTGTTTTAGAATTTTTTTTAGTCCCATGAAATAAGTGCTCAAGAGCTTTGGAAAGTAACAGTCATCCTCTTGGGTCATGTAGTCTTGTGGTCGCTAAGCATGGGAGTGCATTGAGCCCAAGCAGACGGAGCCCGTCCTGCTCTCTGAGTAGCATCCCCGCAGCTGGGGCAGGCAAGAGATCTCTCCCCATGCAGTGAGGATGGCCTGCGGAGCTTGGCTTACATAAAAATGGAGACATCATTTGGACAGCATCACACTGTTTCTTCTAACTAGAGTATCGTTATCATTATGTCAGAATGGCAAGGAACAAGTGGCCTTGCGTCACCAGACCTGTGGAGACAGGTGGTGAGCGCAGCTTTTCCCGGGGCTCTTCTCAAGCAGAGGATACCAAGTCGCCAAACTCTGAGGAGTTTAACATCTGAGCCGTGAGAGCTGCAGCCCACTTCCCCTGCTGTGGACACAGCGGCGTGTGCTGGAGGTCACCCCAGCCCGGTCCAGGGAGCACCCCATCTGCAGAGCCTTGCAGTGTGTGTGACTAACAGGTGCTTACGCTGGGCGAGGGCGTCAGGCAGTGGATTTGGGAGCACATTTATCCCTTTGCTTGGCTTACGTTTGGGGGTTTGCTTTTATTTGGAGGGGAAAAATTCATAGGTAGGGTTTCAAACTCGCAGTGTGGATACAGCACATACCACTGGGACCCATTTTTGTGTTTGTTCTTTTACATGAAAGGGGGGTAGAGGGCTGGGACACGTTGGCCAGCACGGAGAGTCAGACAGAAACTCCACACCCACTCCTCATGCCCGGCAAGGGGGCAACAGTGCCCACCTTGTTATGCCTTGTCTCGGTACCTTGTGAGCGGGGCCGGTCCGACCCATCTCACAGCTACCAAGACCAGACCACGTCAGCAGAGGTTCCCAGGCAATGCCTTGGTCACCACAGGCACCTGGAAGTGGCCTTTGCTCATCTCGACGTGGCCCCAGGTGGCTAAGATTCTGGCATGGAAAAGTCTATTTGTCACAGAAATTTTACGTTGATCTTTTTTTTTTTTTTTTGGTTTTTCTCCGGTACCGGGAACCAAACTTACAACCTTGCGCTTGCCAGGCAGGCGCTTTTGCCGCTGAGCTAAATCCCCAGCCCCTCGTTGATCTTATTTGATCTGCAGAAGTTGCTCCAAGGTACAGGGGGCTGGTGAAGTAGAACTTACAGCTGTGTTTCTTTTTGTTGTAGGACAGCCTGTTTTTACGGTTGCTGCCATTTGTTTCTGGGAGCGGAAGTTCCTTATTTAGGGGAGACCCTGAGTTATGAAATACAAAGCCAGCAGTGTCTGGGGCTGGGGAGGAGTGGCCGTTGTCCTGAATTCGTTGCTCTGCAGGGCTGAGCTGTGGGCCAGAGTGCAGCCTCTCATTTCCCTGGAGGGTCTCACCTTCACTCCTGGAAGGCTGTGGACTCCGCAGTGCTGCAGAGCTCTCAGAAGTGAGGACGTGGGTGTTGCTGCTCCTCTGCGCGCCTGTGTGTGTGTATGTGTGTGTGTGTAAAACCCAACAGTGATATCCACAGGCGTCTCTAATGCTGGGAGCACATGCCTGCTTTGGTGTGGAGAGGCCAAGAGATTGAGTCCCCAGGTGGCTTCCTGTTGGCTTGGCTCTGTGCCCTGTAGTTGTCACTGTCACTGTCACAATGGGCCTTTTAGCTCTGGCACCAGAGCTCCCTGTTCTCCTGCTAGCAGCACCACATGGGATGTCCACTGGGCAAAGTCTGGGGCACTTCATCCAAGTGATCCAACTACCTACCTCCTCCTCTGCAGGGGATGATGACCGCATCCGCCTGCTTAGCTTGGTCCTGGATTCCTGTCCCATCCAGATGAGAAAGACAGACATCCTCCCCAAAAGAGGAAGCCTCCTGGGGTCACACTGTAGTTGCCATAATGTGGTAACAGTCCTTTTAGGGTTCCATAGTAAAAGTCTTTGCATTTTAAAAATTTCTTTGAATTTCTTATACTTGCAGCACACTTCCTTAATCACTGACATCCTCTGTTCAGCCTGCAGGTAGGTAGGCCAGAAAAATGATTAGGATTTGGTGCGTTCTGGAAACTTTCAGTGGCTGTTTTTAAAACTGTAGCCAATTCTTTCCATCAGGCATTCACTTCCTGTTGTTACAGATAAATTATTGTACACGAGCTGTAGCAATATGCATCTCCAGGGTGGAAATGCAGAGCTTCTTTGGGCTATGTACTGCCAAATAACACACATATTCTATAAAACCAGGGTTATGCAGTACGTGTAATTTTGCACCCTGATTTCTTTCTCCTCATAACATTATCCATATTATTACACAGTTTTAAAAATTCTGTTGTATTCTCTTATACAAATCATTATGATTTGTCAGAGCAACTTTTAGACACACTTCTGTCTTCACATTAAAAGGGGTGCCGTGATAAATACTTTCCACATGAATCTCTGTGATCATCTCTGATTATCCCTTTATGGGAGGCTC